CAACGTCCTGCACCAGTGTCTACCAGCGTCCGGGAGAGGACAGTATGGCTCGATGGGAGGCGGCTAGTAGGCAGCTGGTACCCTCCTAGCGCGCCATACTCTCTACCAGCAGTCTATCACCCTGCTATCCCCCATAGGGTGATAGACTGCTGGTAGAGAGTATGGCGTATTAGTTAGGCCAATTAGGCAGACTCACCTCATCCCTAGTCCCCCTTGAGGCGACGAGGGCGAGTATAGGGAGGTGCTAAGTGAGGTCAACCCAACTAAAGTGACATTCCCTTCTCCATAGAAGGCTGATAGACGGTGAAGAACGCTGGCAGATGGTGATCGATATTTATACTTTTTGGTCGCTAACAGTGCCGGACGCTCGGCCGTTGGACGCTGTTGGTTGCTGGTGGACGCTGACGCAAAGAGGAACGCAGCCTAAGCGTTTTCCGCTATAGCTGATGCGTTCCCTTTTCCAACACTGAAGACAAACCGTAGATTCACCTCCGTGATCCTGGTCCTTACCATTCACCAGGTCGATTGGTACGCGGCAGCCGTTTCTTTCCTGACTCAAATCGCGTGGGGACAGAGCTCTAGCGCAGTGATACCCGGGTGCCGTCCGCCGACTCCGCGCCGCGCTCCTCCACGACCAGTCGCGCTCCTGACCCTAATCAACGCACTACTTGTCTGCGCCCTCTAACTCCTATTCACTTGTACATCAGCCAACCCGTTCTTCTCGCACTTGGCAACGCCCGTCCCTGGAGGAGAGTGTACAGTATGTCTCTGAATTTCAATATCTCTCTTTGTAGTTGAGTATACGTCGCATTAGCTGCATAGGTTTGTGCTTCCCATCGATGTGTCGACCCATCTAGATAGCCTTTTCTTGAGTTGACACGTTAAACCAAAGATGGCTAGAGACTTGCTCCTAGCTTCACAAGAGTTCACAAGTTTCACCAGAGTGAGACTTGTAAACCGGAAGTAGTGAAGCAGTGAAAGTGCAAAATGCCCCCCCCCCCCGTCGCCGAACTGCGCCGGTTGTGCTTTACAATGATTTGATGATTACAGGGACTATCACTGCTAGTAACTCTAACGATCTCCAAACTAGAAGAGGCTGAGGAGAACGGATTCGCTACAGTTCCTTCGATCGTTACCTTTTGTTCAAATGAGAAAACTCGAACAGTAACGAACCTTCTACGAGTGCGCATAGCATAATTACCAGTCGACACCCTTCCTGCACTATCATATACCAGAAATCTCCAAGTGTGTTCTCCATAGGAGCCTTAAATGAAACGCTCTCATGAAAGGCACAGTAAGGCAGCGTCTAGACTTCGCGACGACGCGCCTCACTGAACTACCACTGCAGTGACGCTCCAGTGCAAGGACGGAAGAACGAAGTCTCAGACTCGATAGATACCAGACTGTGCGGCCAGGCAGCGGGTACCGTTTTATCCTCCCATACTCTCTCATAGCAGTAGTGGCCGGCGCCGATCGATACCCGTCTATGGAGTGCACTTCCAAAGCAACGGAGCACTGTTGTGGTGATACTGCGTCGTCGCGCGTTATGGCGAAGTCAGGCCTAAGGTCGCGTTCATACTTCACATTCCCAGTCATTCGGTGGCTCAGTATGAAGTTGAGATGCTGCAACCTATCACACTCCACCGCTATCGTTAAAGCACTGTTCGAAAGAAGTTCCACCTAGAATGAGAGTGACCTGGCAGCTCCGTCGGTTTGACGCTGACGATGAGCGGTGGAGCGCCAACGATCGCAATCGCGCGGTTGAATCGCCTGTATCACCGTGTATGAACACGGCATCGCCTCCCAAGTGTATGAAAGTTCACACCTAAATTGAAAGAGGGAAGAAAAAACGTCAAAGAAAGTGCCACGTGCCCCATTTTATACATGCAGCTCATCGCATGTTTATACTACAGTTGCGTGTAGAAGTGGCACATCACGGAAGGACGTTCAGTCAAGCGCCTAATCAACCTTTTCTTCACCTGCGTGCAAATGAATTTCCTCCCGTCGGCGGTGATCCAGTTCGCATGAATGTAATCATTCGTACGTCCAGCTAGTATGACACGTGTCGCGTCCAAACATCGAACATCGCTATACCTGAACAAACTGTTGTACAGTGCTGTTCGGCTTGGTAGGGGCATCTTGCACTTTCTCTAGTTCCTTCTGCTAGTTCATTTTAATTAACAGTGAGAGTAGACTTTTGAGGAACAGTACAAGTGACCTTCTTTATTAAAGGGGTTCATGGTCTTTACAAGGTGACCTGTACGGCTCTACTGAGCATCATTTGGTGCCATCACCATGCCGAACTGCGCCGTTTTCTGCGGTTAGTATAACTACAGGGTCACCTTAAGAAATTTTCCATCATCCATCAATTTTCACTTTTTTTGGTGAGAACTATGGTGCAGCATTGTTGGGAAAATCCCATCAGAGGGCGGAGTCGTGCTGGTCTCTAGGAAAGGAACAATGGATCTTATTTGGTTTGACGGACATTTTTCCGGTTCTTGACTTATCTGCCCCCCCCCCTGTATGTGCCCTATTTA